TCCTTCCTTCCTTCCTTCCTTCCTTCCTTCCTTCCTTCCTTCCTTCCTCTTTTTGTTAAGCTGAGATTTTGAAACTTTGTCCTCTTAATGAAATTCCAAACCTCTAAAACACACTAACATGCAGTACAGGCAGTTCTTGACTTACAACCATTTATATAGTGACCATTTGAAGCTACACTAAAAAAGTGACTTATGACCATTTTTTATACTTAACAATCATTGCAGCATCCCCATGGTCATGTGATCAAACGTTGGATGCTTGGCAACTGGTTCATATTTATGACAATTGCAATGTCCTGGGATCACATGATCAGCTTTTGCTACTTTCTGACAAGCAAAGTCAGTGGGGAACTCAGATTCATTTAACAATTGAGTTACTAACTTAACAAGTACAGTGACTCACTTAACAACTGACTTGCTTAGCAACAGACATTTTGAGCTCAATTGTGGCTGTAAGTCGAGGACTATCTGTAAATGCGGAGCCCACCCAGCTCAACATTTCAGCTGCTTCTGTTGCATGTAACTGCTGCTGTTAAAAGTTGATGGTAAACTGATTCTTTTTACAATAATTTTTAATGAAGATTTTAATTACAATAGTAGAAGCAAATATAAATTAAACTCAGAGAAAGGAGAAATAAAGAAAAAGTGCAAGGAAAGAAAAAGAAGAAAGTAAGATAAAAGATAATAAATACACGAAGAAGTGACTTCCAATGTTCATCACAACAAATATAAGCAAATTTGATAATTCTTCACCCCCTATGAGATTATAAACAAATATATCTCTTCCTGTACTCTATCCCTTATCAATATGCAAGTCAATAATTGTTCACCTTTTCAGTCTTGGTAGGAGCAAACATCTGTAAAGATGATCAGAGCTTTATAGAGACATCTTATTTTAACCTTGGTCAAACAAAACAGATTTATATTCCTTCTGATGATCTTTAAAATGTTATCATGGAGTTTGTTCTCTCTTCAGTTTCTCTTTTTCCACCCTAAAGGTTTGTTTGAGGCTTTAGCAAACATCTTTCGTAAAACCAATAAAAAGTATTATCCAGATTATTCCCTTGGTTTATCCTTTGTATTTCCACTTTGATTTTCAAAACTTTAACCAACATTTATATATCCAATAAAAAGTCCTCATCAGGTCATTTTCATAGCTTTTCATTTGTAGTTCCACTTTAGCTGCCTTCTCTATCTACTACTACTACTACTACTACTACTACTATTATTATTATTATTATTATTATTATTATTATTATTATTATTATTA